AACTTTATCGTCAGACCTTATTGTCGGAGTGCTAGCACTCTGGGTTTGCATTGCAAAACCATCAGTGATTGTATCACCTGATTTATCTTGTTTAAAGAACATTCTTTCTCTTATCAGAGACATCATAGATACTTTCAGCATTTTTCTGTTATTAGCGGTTGTTTCTGTTGTTTCAATGATGATGTTAGTTTTGGTTTTGCATTTGAGACAATAATGTTGTCATTTTATACTTGACGTTAGACAAAATTCTACAATCTGAGGTAATCAGCTATGGTGATGGCCTCAACAGATGGAAAATTACATGACCAATTTCAGAGGTTAGCTCCATCTCATTGTGAGCTATATTTTCTTACTCTGCAGCCCATCCAAGCTGGTTGATGACCTTACTGTACGGGTATATCCTCGCAGGTTTCTGAGCAAGCTCAAAATGTATTGAATGACCTTTGCAGCAAGACGATGGGAGATGATCATACGCTGGACCTTTAGTCTGATGTTCTACTTCTGACACATATTTTTGAATCCTTATGGATCACCTCTTTGAAGAAGTAAGGCATCGAGCATCCCACTACTTTAGCTCCCCTAGATGAACTTTGACGTCTACATAAAGCAACAAGAGTGTAGAGTTCGAACTACTGACAGACATTGACGAGCATCGTTTCTGCATCTCCATGCATTTCCGATAGGAAACGGTCAATTATCCCATGTGCTCGGACTACGACCCCTCCAAACCTACCACTTGGGTTATCAACTGTAACTTTTATCATTAGGCTATAACCTACAGCCTATCCGCTGTGCCGATCTCGAAAAGATTGATTTAAGCAGTTTGAAGAGTTTACAAACTCCTTATGCGAGATTAAGCAACTACGGATGATATAGCAGAACAACGTATACAACAGAGACAAAATTGCAATGATCTGCTTGTTTCACCGGTAGACTGAAGACATGCATAGATTTGAACCTTCTATTTGACTCAGCGAGATTTTGGCTGGGTGCAAAAATCCTTGGTAGATGGATAGATATCTTCGGATATCACCTGCAACTATTCACGCACGAACCCATGACGCAGAGGCGATCACTCACATCATCAGATGTGGTATAGGACAGGCTGTCCAGGGAGAATTTCCATCAATCGTGTAAAACCTACGTACCCAGCAAACCTTTTGGATCGATAATGCGAAAGGTCCCACCCTCCAGCTTATCAAGCGCATACATGTACTGTACTAGGGACATCGCAGTGAGAGACTACTTTAACGGTTTTACGCGTGAAAAGTGTGGTGTCAGCTGACTTTGCGCCAGTAATCCTATTCGCCACTCCGATAAGGGTAGTAACAATAGTAGCAAGTCGCTCAGTATAATTCACGATCCACTTCGCCACCATATTGAAAATGTAACTGTTTCTGGGCATTCTGGTGCCCAGATAGCTCCTCTGCAAGGGTTCGGTTTAAATGGTCAACAATCACCTGAACTAGATGGACACCGGCCATTTCGCGCTAAACATAGACACCACCCTCGCCTGGCCAGGAGTTACAATTGGGCACCATTAATCCCGTGTCCAACATCGACCATCAGAAGCTTTGACCTCTTGAGTTGATCCAGCTTGTAGGTCCGAGTTATCGCGGCGGTAATCTCAGTACTTACCTTTTCGGCAAAAGGCTTTACCTTATTATCCGCTTGCAACGTCCACTGCGATCAGCATTTAATTGCAGATATACGATCAGAGATCAGAAGAAGACGCTGTTCTGGTGCACCTTCTTTAGGGTAAAGACAAAATTTTGGAAGAACAATTTATCGCGGAGCATGCAGATAGATCTGTCCACGGCCTATTTTTCTGCCACGACCTGATGATGTTTATCGTGATTCTGGCACCCATTGACAACGAGTTTTGCTTCATCGGGCTCGTAACGTGCATGAAGCCAGGCCACCCGCAATGGCCGTTCCTCATTGTCGATTACATTGTAAATAAGGCTCACATCTACCTTGTGCTGGTCACAGTGTTCTTGATTAACGTATGCGACAGGTCGTTCTGGTATCATACGGTGTCCACGCAATTGATGGGTAACTCGATCGGATTGGAGTTGATGTCAGCATACAACTGGGTCTAGGATCCGCTTTTGGTTTACCCAGGATAAGTACTAGATTGTAACCCTGTTAGTGTTCCTTTACTTAGTGCTTTTACTACCTTGATGGCCTGCATGAGACACAAGCCTCAAAGAAAATAAGCGAGTTATTGACCAGAACTACCAAGTCGCCAAATATATGGATTCCCGTATGCAAGCATTCGTGATTTTACGGCATGATAAGTTCTAGCATCCTCTTTAGTCGTGAGAGGCGCCTAAACACCTACGCACTGTACTTAGTCTATCGGTACACCAACATCCCGAAGGTGACTTTCGACAACACCAAGATGTTCAATTTTTTGCGGGATTGACACCCACGGTACATGCAATGTAGTGTGCCTATAATAAGGACTATAGAAAATTTCACCACTTTTTATATAGAAGACTGCAGCTCCACACAGCTTTGCCATAATAAACCTGATTAGCGTTAACCCAACGAAGCTTCGGGGTGACATGGAGAGCGTGTGGTTACGTGATTCAAACAAACCTGTATTGGACCATCTCCGGCCAAGTAATATGTCAACACTTATTAGATTTTGTATTATTTTCCACACAAAAATAACATTCACAATGACGAACAGTTCTGGTGGCAAAATACGTTTTCCATATACATATCCGTCACCAGCACGTCGCTCGATTATCAGCTGGTCGACTCTTTAGCTCTGAATCCTGACCAACCGGAACGCGTTTGAAGAAACGAAGTAAGAAGCGTACAAAATATTTTATTCCACGCTTTAGAGACTCAGGATTGTATATTACAAATTATGGAGAGCAAATACGACCCACGCGAGCGTAGCTATGGACAATAAGTACAGAAGCATGCAATAAATGGCGGTGATTGCTTGCAGGAGTGCAGAGATAGACAAAATCCGGAAATAAAAGTGGAGCAGGATCTGTATAAGGCGTGACATTTATCCTCGTGACGTGGAAGATACAGACAGTCGTATAGTGATGCTCTTTAAGCCATCTTTGCTGATGATCCGACATTCGAGTTAATCAACGAGGCCAGCACATTGGCCATCGTCATGGATAGTCTCACGTGGCGGTCATTATTTAGAAATATTTTTGTTTAGGATGTAAATGATTAGTACTATAGTGGCGACAATGAAGGCCCAGCCGAGGTAATGCAGGAGCAGACGGCACCGCGTGCAAGATAAATGATCTCTGAGAAATCGAAGCAGCTTACACTTGATATCGTTTTTTCGACACCTGCTTAAGACCCTGAATCTGCTTTAAACATAGAATCGTGCTGGTATCATTGTGGATCAACCACTAATGACCCAATGTTCGTGCAGGGTCATTTGAAAGCCCCTGTCACACAACAGCCTAATATTTTTTTTCTACAGAAGTGTAACCTAGAGGACCGTCTGGTGTCTACGAGATGGATACCATCAACAAGGAACTCCAGTGGTAAATCACAGATTTGAAGGAGGCATCGAAACCAAGGTGAATTGTGACATCGGATGCGACCCTAGGTGGACTACAACACCTGCAATCTGGCCAGCCCAGACTACGTGCTATATAGCTTTATCCCGATCGCTAGCCCAGGAAAACACCTGAGGGCCATGTTGTTACTATATTACTGTCCGTATGTCTGCCCTGTATAAACCTCCGCATCAATATCCTGTTTTTGCAATAGTTTATGTTAAAGGTCACTTGGAAGCAACATCCCTAACTTTAATTTAGTCTTCGCGATACATAATGCAGCTGAACGAGTTCGGTAACTCTAATGGGTCATCCCGCCGATTCACGTCGTTGGCTTCAACTGGGATGTGCACATGGTTATTTTAGCGCCAAGCTATACGTTTCGCTAAACTGGAAAACACAGATGACTACGAAATATTCCGTACCAGTGTAGTAGATGAATGCAAGGTCACGCTCTCGAAGCTTGCCCGATGGATACCGACTGTGACGCTGCAGGTTGAAACAAGCATACTTAACATCAAGCAAGGAGTGCAGAGTGCGTGTCCTTTCAGTCCATGACAACGTCTACCCTAAACAGCGCTGTCTCCTGCCAGTTCTCATAGCAGGTCAACGTCCATTAGTACATATACGCATCCAGGCAAATCTTAGTCCTCCAGCTGTCGGTGAGAAAGAACCAAGATCGCATCAGGATAGTATTCGTTAAAGTTGAACTCGACGACCAACAAAAACCGACAGACGGAAATTTTCTGACTACGGATCAACAAAGTGGTCTGCACCTACACACCTACATCTATAATAGTTGAGACCATAAAGTGGAGACGGGTCTTCAGATCAACCAGAAGGACTTCAACATACCCTACTTTATCAATTGATTCGACCTGGGGCACATCGACCTGGTAAAACAGTCAACTCATTGACAGATATCTTAATGCCTGCGTTTAACCGGATAACGCTAGTGTCGTGTACCAAGACTTTACCGTTATCTTCTCAGAAAAAAAAAACACCAATGCTGCTCGAAGGTGCTGAAGAATGAATTCGGGTAGGCGAAGCTCTGTCCGATCATATATATTAAATCGCAAGGTGATATACCCACATATATGCGAAACGATGAACAAACTACGTAGATGTTATGGCTTGAGATCTATGTTGTTGTTGTAATTTGGATTTGTAACGTAGCTTTAACAATATTTCAGTCATATCGCTACGATGTATGCAGTGTCACATTTTATATTGATGTCTAGCACTGGGGCATCATGCCATAGATATGTCGCATGATGTCCCACCCAGTCACATTATCCTGACACCAGACCGACCAGTACTAACGGACGCGCAGCTCATTAGAAAATGCCACGCAACAGTTTAAAAAATATTAGAGGGAACGTTGGTCCTAACACAAACCTCTTCATGCTGAATGCCACGCGAGGCAGCTGTTAGTACTATTTTTGTAAGTCTTTGGTATGCCTCTACTGGGGATCGAACCCACGACCTTCCGCATTTAGGGCGGACGCTCTTACCTATAGGCAACCGGAGCGGTCTTTGAGGTTTATAACGGCTGTACCAAAACGAACGTAAGATGAGAATGAACCACAAACAGTATTTTTGATGTTATAATCCTCCTGGAATTGTGGTTGGAAACAAGGAAAGGTTGGATTTGTAATAAGGTTAGGAACTTTTACTACCAGCGCATATCCCACACTGAAGTCAATTACAGTTTGAAAGATAAATGGTGCACAATATCAAATGTTTATGTTTTCAAGATCTCCAAAACTTCATTCAATATTCACAAAATGTTGTATACTTATATACTGTTTTTGCACCTTTTGACCCTTGACCAACAGAGAAGAAACAGCTATTTGTCCATATCTTTAAACATGCTCTGGATCGCCTTGGGTCCCCAAAAAAAAAAAAAATTGGATACTTGCTGCAAAGTTATACCATATATGGAAATTACCCGACAAATTGACAGCAGTATTGCCAGAGGTCAAGCAAATTGCAAGAAATGTCACACTAAACGGACAGACTGAAGGATGCACCTGAACATAGAATAAGAGGTATAGTGCATATCTTTAAGAACGCATGCTCGTTGTATATGTCTGTGCGTGTGTGTGCGAGATAAGAATATTAATTGGACAGCAAAGGTATCGAAGCGAATGTCTTTATGTTACTTTTCCATCCAAGCTTTAATGGTTTTAATTGCAAAACTGTTATGTTCTCTATGCCTTTCACTTTTTCCGACCAGCAGATACACTGTCCAAAGTGAAGTGACCACAGAATGGCCAGCGAGGGTAGCGACATGGCGTCTGGGGTGGACGTCTCTATCTCGGATACACAAACGTGGGAGAAAGAGAAGAAATTTGTGGTAAGTGTTCGAATTCTTTTAAAGATCTAAAAAAAAGTTCTACAAAAGGATCCTTATTTAGCATCATACACGTATTATCTGAGTAAGATTTTCTTTCTGCCATTAAAAAATTACCTTCGTTCTTAGAAATAATATCAAGATAAGGAAATGACTCATTATATGATAGCACAATACATCAGTTAAATTTAATACAGCGCACACACACACACACACACATATATATATATATATATATATATATATATATATATATATATATATATATATATATATATATATATATATATTAGTGTAGTGAATTTAATATATATCATTACGACAATGGATCAGTTGTCAAAATTAGAAGTTATCATAATCAGTTAAAAGTGCCATATATTATTTATTGAGATTTTGAAAGTTATGAAACTACTAAACACCTTGTGCTACTAACTACAAATTTGTAATGGTGCTACGGGTTAAATGAATACATCATGATGGTTAAAATAACTATGCACGTCCAATAAAAATCACGTACATATTTCAAATCCATTCTCGAAAGTTACGGACCAATGGTTTAAAGAGGTACAGATTGCATGGAGGTATTTGATAACTAAATAAATGGCATAATAAGACTATTTTACAATGAACTGACAAATTCAAAACCCATGGTATTCGCAGATGAAGAAGAGAAACATTTTAGATAATGAGTACACATCGGATCTATGAGTAAAATATTAAAAAACAAAGAGATGGGTCTTAAGACATGCAATTACGTCCCATTGAGAATTTAGGTTGAATTTTTGTCCATTTTTTCATTGATACCCTTTCTGGTTGTGGTAGTGGTTTGTTAGTTAAGACTTGTAAAAATATACTTCTGATAATGAGGTTAGAACCAATCCATGAAGAAAATTATATTTAATTCAAGCAAAGATTCTATGAAGGGAATGCAAGGAAATTGGTCCAAGAAACATTAAATGCATATATAGCATTACGCTAATGCGACAATTTCTAGAACAGCAATTTCGTGGTATGAAACCGCTTGAAACGAAAACACAACCAAAACAAATACATTGATTATATAGGTGGGTTCAATTAAACATCTATACCAGCCAAAGAAATATTTCATTGCAGTCTGAGTGATTCTAATATATCAGCAAATATGTTCATGTTGTGATGTCACGCTTGAAATGGAACACACTCAGTGACTTTCTCAATACTACGTTCAAAAGCACACACTAATGCTGTGTCATTTTCGAAGAGTTTCGAAATGTATTTATGACACAGTACAGTCATGATCCAACGCACCACTGCACTGCACCTGATGCCAGTTTGATGATATCAGCTTCAGAATGGAACTTCTGACAGACGGTAACTTCTCTTTTGGTGACTGAGTGTGAAGAAAAAGACTTGGTAATATCGTGATCCCAAACTGATACGCTAAGGCAAATCAGGAATACTCTGTTGGCGATGTATGAAAGATAAAAATGTGATGGCCACCAGATATGCAAAAAGTCCTATATGGACACCAACAGCCTCCATTGTTAGTGATTTTTAGTGTTAGATTCAACAGTGCTTTTAAGTGCCTTTCGCAAAGATAAACAAAGCCAGCCGACACGGGGTGACTTGTGTGGATATGTAACGAGCGACGTATCGATTAGGTGTCTGACACTCACGAACTGAGCCACTTAAACGTTTCAGATCGGGAAATGATGAAAAAAATATGCCCATAGACAAATGCCTAATAAACACAGCCGTGTTAGTGACATAGGGTGGATTAGAGCTCAGTACAGGTTTGAGACAAAATGCTATTAATGATTTGGAGACAGACTGATTGAAAATGATGAGTAATTAGGTGTTAAGTCAGGGGTGGTCAATTACAATTTGCATCGTATGAAAATATGAATTAATGATAATAGTCATTTTGTTTCACATTCACACTGTATTACACATGCACGTCATATTTTAAAATACTAACTTGAAACAGTTTATAATTTGGCAATAAGATTTTGCTATTCATAATTATTTCAACAAACGTTTATTGTTACCTATCATAATAATTATGATGAAGAAGGAACTTAATTTACATACAATCAGACCACAGAGTACAATTATAATTAATGAGAAGTATGTAACTGTACACAATTATGGAAAATGTTCTTGAACTGTGGAACCAGTTTACTGGTTGTGATTCAATTGACTGCATTCAAAAATTGTAGTCAGTCACCATAGACCTGTTCTTAGACTTGTTTATTTTCAGACAAGGAAAAGCTTTCTCACAGATGTATGTGGACCCAAATAGTGCAAAAGTTTGGCAGCAAAGATTTTTAAGTGTGCAAATACTGCTGCTGACAAAGATCCATAAAACTTCAGCAGACGAACTGACTTCTCCTTCAGGTCATAATCTGCTTGTAGGTCAAGCAGCTCCAACTGTATATTCTCTGGGGCTGAATCAGCTTCTGCACTAAATGGCGAACGGAGTTGTTCCAAGTTCTTGAAGTCTTGGAACCTTCTTTCAAATTCCACAACCAAGGCATCCAACTGAGCCTTGTACCTGTCAGCCATTTCACCAGAAATGGTTTTCTGTTTCAGCAAAGGGAAATGGCAAAACCTGCTTTCATCTGCTTGCCTGAAGAACAGGGAGAGTTTTGCCTGAAATGATTTTAACATGCACATACATTTCATGTACAAACAAGCTATTGCCCTGAAGTCTGTCATTCAGTTCATTCAACTTTTCCATAATGTCAATGGCTAACATGAAGTCTGACTTCCACTCTTCATTAACAATGTTAGACACAAAGTCACAATCAATACCCTTCATTTCCAGGAACATAACTATCTCTTCCTTAAGATCCCACAGTCGCCCCAATATCTTGCCCAGGCTCAGCCAGGGGACACTGCTGTGGTAGATAATATCGAAATGTTCAGTTTCCAAATCTTCAAGCATTGCCTTGAACTGCCTGTAATTAAGTGCCCTGGCTCTGATGAGATTTATCACACTGACAACTGGTGAATAAAGTACTTGATATTCAACACAGCTTTACACAGACATTCCTGATGGATGACACAGTGAAGAGGTAAGAGTGTGTGGTCAGGGTTTTCTTCTTTACTTTTATTATTCATCAACTTCACCAGACCTATGTTTTTCCCAGTCAAGACACGCGCTCCGCTCCATCGGTTGTTACACTTGCTATCTTATTCCACAACAACCCTGTTCTTTCAACACAGTTCACAGCAGCACTGAATAAATCCTGGCTTGTGGTTGTGTCTTTGAGTGACTCAACACTAAGTAATTCCTCGGTAAGCTCGAAACGGGTGCTTATTCCCCGTATAAATACCAACAATTGTGCTGTATCCTGTACATCGGTTCTTTCGTCCAACGCAAGAGAGGACCACAAAAGTCTTTGCTTTCTTCTCGAAGTTGGTGCATCTAATTGTCACTTATCTTTTCAGCACGCCTGACAACAGTTCTCCTTGATAAAGAAATGCTGTCAAAGTTTGCTTTCTGTTCTGGACACAAGCATTCCTTTATGAAATTGCCGTCAGAAAAATGCTTGTTCCATTTTACAATCTTACGAGACAGCACCAAAATAACATCGGTTTCAGCATCTTGTATCAAAGACTGTTTGGTGAAAACAGTTTGCTGCTTCTTTAAATTGTTAACCAACTTATGGCATTTCCTTTTTATCTCTTCGTTTGTTAAATTGTGCCCAAAATCCAGATGTCACACTTCCCGGAACAGCAAGCAAACTATTTTGCTCCCAGCGTTCGTGAAGCAGTACTTAGCAGTCCATTCGTCATTAAAAAGACAATATTCGTCCTCAATTTTTTTTTGCAGCACTCATGGTTAAATCAACGTCTATTCAAGCAACATGTGGTTGAGCGGAAACGCAGTTTCGAATAGGGATTTTGACGATTAATAACTAATCAATTCTTGAGCAATAAAAACCAATTAAATATCCTTATCGAATCAAATACTCGGAACGAAATTTCAAAAACATAGTGAAAATTATAATCGAACAAAATTAACATCGACGAAGGATCACAACATGTGCGTACCTACGGGCCGCATAATATACTTTTACGGGCAACATGCGGCCCGTGGGCTGTAGTTTGCCCACATTTGTGTTATGTAAACATATGAATAATGATTAGAAAATAACAATTAGATTATGTCCACATGCAAATAAATTTAC